CAGAGGAACCCGGGGGGGGGGGGGGGGGGGGATTTGAGGCCAGCTGCAGGCAGAGAAGCAGGATTCAGATGCTGAGAAAGGAGCCACCTCCCCACCAGGCGGCAGGTGTGGAGCCAGCATGCACAGAGGTGCTGCTGTGGGGACGTCAGGATCTGCTCTTTGTTCAGCCCTGCCGTGCACCGGCCGTGGGGTCCTGGGCAAGTCGCTTAACCTCACCACTTGCTGGCTGATGCCTGCGGCGTGCGCATAGGCCGAGACATTAGGAATGTGCTTAGGGGACTGTATCGGTCAGCTGAGGCTGCATGAGAAAATGCCACAGACTGGGTAACTTAGACAACGGAAGCAACGTTGTGACATTCTCACAATGCTGGGGGCTGGAAGTCTGACGCAGGGTGCCAAGAGCAGGTCTGGTGAGGGCCTTCTTCCTGGCTCCTGGCAGATGCCCACCTTTTCACCAGGAGAGAGAGAGAGACTGACTCCTGGTATCTCTTCTTCTAAGGGCACTAATCCCACCCTGAGGGCCCCCACCTGCATGACCTTGTCTCACCCTAATTCTCTCCTAAAGGCCCCATCTCCAAAAGCCCTCACATTAGGGCTTGTTAGGGCTCCAACACATCAATCTGGGAGAGACCCAACTCTGCCCATAGCAGGGAGTGAATCAGAAGTTAAGGCTCTGTTTCCTGGGAGAATTCCTGCCTCTTAGGACACCTGGTGTAATGTCACACTGGTCAGTCCAGGCAGCCCTTTGAGTTGATGGCAGTTAAGTTTCTCTAACTGAGAAAGGCCCGGCCCTTGCACTTAACACAGAGCCTGGTCCCGGCTCTGACCCTCAGGAATTTTGTTCTAGGCCGATAGTGGCTTCTCTTGCCTGTGAATCTGGAAGATGAGGGGAGCGAGGCAGATGTGGTTGAGATATTTTTTAGGAAATTGAAAACTTGAAAAACGTGAGACAGGTCAGAAGTTGTCCTGGAAGGGAGTGTGACATGGTCACGTTCTTACAGGACACGGGTACCCCGTGTTGGGGCTGTACCGTGAGCTGGTCATGGCATACATGGGAGGACAAAGAATGATCTGGAAGGTGCATTTACGGGAGGGTGAGATGGAGACTGGGTTGGAGGAGCCAGTAGGTGTCCAGTGAACCCCTTCCCAGCAGCCAGGGCCACGCTGGCACTCAAAGTGAACGTCTCGGAAGGCCAGGCCAGGGGTTCAGGCCCCACCGCCGGGCGAGGAGGAAGTTCTGTGGGATTCGGTGACATGAGGAAACGGTGGAGACCTTTCTTACTTCCACCTGCGAATCCACTGGGGCGTCTCCGGCCTCAATTCCGTCTCTCACGGATAAGCAAACAAGTAAACTCGAATGTCTTAAATACCTAATTGTTTGGAGGAATTAAGCAAACATTTATTTTATCATCTCATTTGTGGTCGCAGGCTGATCTGTGGGTTTGGATCACTGTTTCTTTCCTGAAATCTCAACTCAACATAGTAATAGGTGCTTTCCACTCGCCGTTATTTTCCTGTGCTCGCTCTGCGGCCGACGCTGCTCCGCGGCGGTTTCGGGCCCGGGCGGCAGGAGCCCGGCAGGAGGACGAGGCCGCCAACAGCCCGCGTTTCGGGCGCTCTCCTGCCTGCGGTTGCTGCTTGAGAAGCCCCGTGGTTGCTTGACGGGGGAGGGGGGCCTAGCTGCCTGCGATGGGAAGAAATCCTGCTGAACTTGGACAGTGGAGCCGGGCAGAGGGGCGAGCTCAGCTCAGGTCTGGAGCTTGCTTACGCTGTTGGCCGGGCCTGCCTCTAGGGCAGCTTAGTTTAGAGACAGTCTCGACTTGTTTCTCCAGAGAATGGAGGAGGGGGTCGCACGTTCTGCACAGGCTAAGAGGGATCTCTGTGTCTCACCATAGAGCCATGAGGCGGGCCATTCCCGAGCCCAGTCCTCGTTCGCGCCAGCTTCCCGCCGTGCCTGCGATCTCAGGAGTCTGGGGAGCTGGCCGTAGGAGTAGCTAAGGCGACAGGGTCTCGGGCCTGCATTTTTGTCAGCAAAGGCTATTTGTTGGCCCGTGGTGCTTTCGTGACCGTGATCAGGGCTGATTGAGCTCATCGGTGACCTGGCCCGCAGCATGAGTGAGGCAGCTCGCCAGTTAAGTCTGGGCGGTGAGAGCCACCGCGCGGTCGTCGTAAGCGACCACAGGATGCAGGCGGCGGCCCTGAGAGTGGTTATTGGTAGGAGTTGTAGTGGCCCCTGAGCAGGGTACAGTAACCCTAAATGCTGCCTTCTCTCTCCGTGTCCCCTCACCACGGTGCTGGCCTGCACATTCACACGGATCATGGAGCTTCAACGTGCAGCAAAATGGAATTGGATTCCTGGCTAGGGCAGCGGCTCCTTTGGGGCTGGTCTTTATCTCCTTTCACGTCTTTCTCCTCCACCCTTCTTCCTTAGAGAACCTCGGTGTAGAGTTAATGAACGGTGACAGTGAACCAGCTCTGTAGCGTCTTGTGTGATCCCCACGGTGACTTTGCCAGGAGGACTTCTCATTCCCATCTCGTGGCTGAGGAAACTGAGGCTCAGTGAGACTTGGGGGGGGGCTTTGTTCTAAGAGCTTCTGAGCCCCCCGGGGCAGCCCAGTGATCTTCCAAATGTGGGAAACCCCCGTCTGGGACCGGCCCCCAATGCTTGGGGCTGTTCCTGCAAGTCACCCCATCTCTCTAACTCGCCCCGAGAAACGGGAGTCACACCCCTCCCCCCGAGGCGGCTGTGGCTGTGAGGGTGGCAGGGGGCACGGCCACCTGTGCTCGGCGGGGGTCTGGGGCTTGCGTCCAAGTAAGACGGGCCCCGTCTCCCAGCAGGAGGCAGAGACTGAAACGCCACGACCAAACAGGAAGCTGCACCTCAGAGCGCTGTCGACAAACCATCGGTTTGATGCTTTCTGTTTCTCGGTGGGGGCAGGGCTTCTCGGGGTTTCTGAGTCCGCCGAGATCGACCCCGTGTGCCCCGCACGCCACGCCAGCACCACGCAGCTGTGCGTGTGTGGACAGAGTCCTCGTTCTGGCCCGTCGGTGTTAGGAGCACGGCCCCTGGGGTTCCGCCTGGGCTTGAATTGCTCCTCCACGGTGTGACCCGAGACCTGCGCGTGACACCTGGCACCTTCTAGGTGCTGCTGCAATGAGTCTGTGTGGATGAGACAGGAACATTCTCTAATAAGATTTGTTTGCCATGTGCGTGGGGAGAATCACAGAGTGATTTTTCTGTGTGGTGTCCAAGTTTTTATTGTGTTGTTTTCGGGGGAGAGGGGGCGTGTGTGTTTTTGTTTTGTGTTTTTTGTTGTGTGTGTGGTGTGTTTTGGGCGGTGTGTGTGTGTTTTTGTTCTTTTTTTTTGTGGTGTGCCGGGGGGTTGGCGGGGGGGGAAGGCAGTTGTTCTTTTTCATGAGTCTGTCTGGTTTTATGCAGACAGAAAATCCCTTCCAAAGTCTGTTGCTTTTTAGGGGCCTTCAGTTCAAAATACTCTATATACCAAGGAGTCATATTTTGGGATGAAATTGGAGTAACAGCTGAGTAAGATGGGGCGTGGCATGCTCTAATTTAAGTTCCAAAAGCATCACCCTGCCCCTGGGCCGGGGGACCTAGCACAGAGGTGGCTGGTTTCCAGTAGATCCAGAGCATTCATGTGGGCGTTCAACACGGAGTCAGGGAATACACCAGGGTGGGTCCAAACAACGGGAAGGAGGGAGTGTTTCCCATAGGGGAACATGCAGAACAGGGTTACTTGGGGAGGAGTGGTGCAGACTCAGAGGATGGTTTTGGCCATGCTGAGATGCCCAGCAGGCAGTTAGATACCTACACCTGAAGTTCAGGGGGGCTGCTCTGGGCTACAATTATTGATTTTTCCATTGTCAGGATAGAGTGGTATTTTGAGGCCTGGAGCGAACAGTGCCTGCTGCTCCTGGATTTGGAACAAGCTACTTTATAGTGGAAGCAGGCAGGGAGCTGCCTTAGGGCCACATGCGCCTGGAATTTTTGCTTTAGGAGATGGCTCGAAATGTACGGTCCAAAGCTGCCTAGGAGGAAAGATGGGTTTGTCATCTTGCCCCTGACCTGCAGCAGCCTGTAACCAACCTATCCGAGCCTTGCATTTGGAAATTCGGGCCTGTCCCTGCAGAACTGCTAAAGATCTCGCTTACCGAATGTTCTCCCCCTTGAGGGTGAGATTTTGGGGTGCACACACCTGTCCTTGCAAGAGCATCCTGGTTTCCTCGGCCACGATGCTCATCGTCATTGCCTATAGGAAACCGAACCCAGGAAACATGCGAAAGTCAGGCGTTCTGAGTGGTTTCGGGACTTGTCAGTGTTCTGAAAGTTCTAGGCCTGGTACAGATGGAAGGAGGGGCTGGTTATTTAGCACTGAAGGGAAAAAACACGGTAGGATGGCCTGAAAAGGAGACCTGAATGGTCTATTTTTTTAAGTGTCTTCCTCGCTCTGATCAGGTGAGAGCTACATTTTTGTCATCCAAAAAAAGAAAAAAATGTAAGAAAATCTGCAGTTTTATGAATTTACGTGACCACCAAGGTGTTGTCATCACTAATAAAAAGAAACTGGGGCCAAATTTCATCTATGTAAGAAGAGAGGGGGTGACATTTGAATAGCCCCCAGTGGCACTGCCCTTGACTGCAGCAGAGGCAGATTTATTTCTGTGTTGGGCCACGGCCTGAAGCTGTCACAGGCCGTCTGGCTGACACACGTACGCCCAGACTCTTGCTGATGCACTTGGACTTTGCACAGAGTCCCCCATCTCAGATGATGATTACCTGGCGTTGGGTTAACTCTGGCACAAATGTTAAGATGGGGCCGGATTTGTACAGCCGAGGGTCAGGTTCTCTCCTGGGTTCTGAGTGGCTCCAAGTTAAGACATGCTCATTCCATGGATGATACTGGCGTGAGTTGGAAGCATAATAGAGGTCAAAGGTGACTTTTTTCCCCCTTCTCAAAAATGGTTTTACGAATCTTTTTCAGAGCTGATAGACACACACCTTAGCTGGATACAAAACATATTATGAAACAGAGTGACTGTGATCTTTGATCCAAGCAATCAAAGTTAAAGGTAATTGACATCTTCTGCTTCTCCTTTTGTTTTCCAGCTGTGTGTTTCCTTGACTTGGATTTTTTATTTTTGGTGAAACTAAACTTTGCTGTGATACCTAAAGGCCCTCTCTTCTCATTTTCCAACCATCCTCACAGACACCGTTTCCTGCTCTTCATGACGGGCCCTTCTCGGGGGCCTTCCCTGAGGGTCTCGGTCTGCGAGGCTGGAGCTCGGGGGTGGGGCGGGAGGAGAGGGGGACTTGCATGCTCTCCCCGTCACGCTGTCCCAGGGCTGGCTGCACGGGACAAGGTGGCACTGTTGGTGGAGCCTCGAGCCCGCTCCTCCTCGGTGCTGTGCACTTGGCTGCGTGTCCAGTTCAGTGGGGCCGTCCAGCGGTGGCGGGGTGTTCTGCTCTGCACCGGGGACCACACCGTGGGACGGAAGTCCGAGCTCCTCGTCTTTGCTCATTTCCATTCTTGATCCCCTCAACTCAGAATCTCAGCTCTCCCCGCGGGCTTACTTGTCGTGTGCTTTTGACAGCTGTCGTTTGCTACTCAGTTTCTAGATTTGAAACCAGCCTCTCGAACTGAGGCTAGAGCCGGGAGCCCCGCCCCAGGTACCACCAGTAGACCCGCCCTGAGCGGCCTTGGTGACGGGGCCTCCACAGGAGAGTCCAGTAGCTGAAGCAGACCTTAGGATGCAAGTTTTAGGAGGCTCTTGGGGGTAACGTCCACATGGGGCACTGAGGAAGTCTCTTTACCTCTCTGTGCCTCAGCTTCTTGGACACTGCAGGGTATTTAATCCTTCCCACATTCTAGAATAAGTCAGCACAGGGGCAGGCACCTAGTCGGCCAGTGTTAGGTGCTCGCTGGGCCACAGCATCTGAATGTTCCCTTTGCCCATGAAAATGGGCTCGGTCCAGAGTCCTTGGCAGCATCACCCTGATGGTCTAATCTGAAATCTCACTAACACCACCCACTTGCTCACACCTCAGAACCATGTTGCCAGAGGACGGGGCCTGCTGAGATATTACCAGCGTGTCCGAACCTGGCAGCAGGCAGCGATGCTGCCAGTGCGTGTTTGCTAAACATAGACACCTGCCACGGTCCCTCCTAAGGGCTTTGCTTGCAAGGAATTAGGATGGTAAAAATGCAAGTAAAATATCGGTGCTGAGAGTATAAGCCACTTAGGGAGCTTGTCAAAGGGCAGTGCAGCAAGAATGCTCGGGCCTCCGAGGGGCTGTCCCGTTGCAGAACGCTTCAGACACCCCCAGGGCGTTGGGCTACAGTCCTCTCCAGCACTCCCGAGTGTCCCAGCAGGCTGAGACAGCTGGAGTGGATGAAAGGCTGGGGAGTTAGGTACCAAGGGCGCGGCCGAGCCCTGCGACAGGTTTGTCCTCAGCCAACACGTCTTTTCAGTTTTGACCCTGGAATCCCCTCTTGGCCTCCACTGTAGCTTCCCCCAGAGAGCACATCACTGCTTTCAGGTCACCCCTCCTGACCAGAGCATGGGGGTCTTGGGCGTGAATCCCGCATGGCACTGCAGGGAGGGGATGCGCTGGTGGGGAGGAGGGGCAGTGCCTCGAGCCCCTGGATGCCCCGATTTGGCCTGGAGATCGCAGCCTCTTGTTCCCACCCCGGCCTGAGGAGTGTCCTTCCGGCTGCGGTGTCTGCGGCTGGGCCAGGCTCTCGTGGGCACTCACGGGGTCTCGCCAGCCTTTATAAGACATGCTTGGGGCCTGAGAGAAAGGCAGGACTGTTTTGTCTGCTCCTCCTCGTTGCTTTCCCAGGGGCTTGAGTTCCAAAGTCAGCAGTTAAGGGCCTGGAGCAAAAGTCACCCTCGATGGCCCTGTAAATTGCACCTAAGCTACACTGGTTTTGCGTAGCCCTGAGCAGCCATTCTGCGAGCGGAAGACGTTTGAGAACCTCTGGGGCCTGATACCGGAAAGAAGGGAGTCAGAATGCAGGTGTCTGGGCCTTCAAGCACATCAGAAAATTGCTAGGGCAGAGTGGGATGCTAGCAGAAGTCAGGTCTAGTTTTCAGAAATGTACCACTAAATGGATCCCAAGTTGTTTGAACCACACTTACAAGAGGCAGTGGATTGCCACCCCCAAAAGGGAGGCAGAAAGAACATCCTGCTTTGCCATTGGTCCACACTAGGGGCTGGCAAACTACAGTGCTCAGGCCAAAGCTGGCCCCCAGCCTGTTTTGGTAAATAAAGTTTTATTGGGACATTTCCACGTCCCTTTGCTCCTATATCGGCTACGGCTGGTTTCATGCTACATTGACAGAGTGAGTAGTTGAGAGGCCACAGAGCGTACAAAGCTGAAAACATTATCTGGTCCTTTACAGAGAAAATACCTTCGTTTTATGCCTGCAGCCAGCCATTTTTACTAGAATATTTATATTCTTATACAAATGACTTTGTCAGATATGCTGAAAATATTACATCCTACATGTTTACCTTTCCCCTGGTGGCACCCGCAGGGCGCCCCGGCTGGGTTCTGTCCCTCGTCTGCTCCACTGACCAGTTCCTGGCAACTCGCCGTCCGTTGCTCTGTGTACGCTCTCATTCCCGAGGCGCTCTAGCCCTCAGACGGTGCCTTGGGGCGTAGGAAGGTACTCAGTTACACTTACTAAGGGACGAGAACACGGAGCTTAGAAAGGGGTACAGAAACTTGAGGTCCACAAGGTCAGAGCTGCGCTCGCCAAGTCTGGACTCTGAGAGGCCGTCTCCTCTATCGTTGCCATCAGCCATTTCATCCATCCGATAAATATTTTGAGCAGTCTACCCTAGGCCAGGGACTGTACCTCTTCCCAGACCCGGGCCACATGCGGTTCTCCAAATAGCTTCCTCCCACCTTGTTCAAGTCCTCGCTTCTCTGTCTGCCCTCTTCCAACGCCATCTCTTCGCTGAAGCTGTGTCCACATTCTGCCTGGCGTGCCCGGCAGGTGCCTGTCCATGCCTGCACCGTCAGCTGTAGGTCACCTCCTTAGGGAAGCTGACTGTCCTGTCCTCTGGCAAACGGTTGCTTGATCTGGAGCTTTTGTCTCTGTGAGCTGCTCGCATTTGCTGAGGGCTGCGGCCGGGCTCTGTATAGCACCAGGGGCTATAAAGTGCATTCTCTCACAGCAGCCCTATGCTTTTTCTAGGTGGGGAAGTAGAGACTGGCAGTCTCTGACACAGCAGGTGAAGAGAGATTGGGATTTTGAACCCAGGATTTAATCTACCCACACGCTATATGGCCTACACCAACCAGTAGGTGACTTCGCAACAAAGTTCAGTATTCATCACCCCTGTGTTATGTGAGATTGGTGAAAGGCCAGGGCAAGCCTGTCCTTAGGTAACGGCACAGAGCGAGGAGGTCCACGTGCCAGGGGACCAGGTCAGGCAGCGTGCTCTGCCTGAGAGAGCGTCACCTCCCCAGAACAGAATTGGAGGCCGGCAGTGGTGAGTCTGCCCAGCGCTCTTGACCTTTGATCACCCTTGGCGGTGCCGTGGTGAACAGACTGGTGGAGAATGTGTCATAACCTCAGGGTGACTTCTACACTGAAGCCAGAAAGGAAAAGATGGATACTTTTTTTAAGACAGGGCCTCGGCTCTGTCACCTGGGCTAGAGTATAGTGAGCTGTGATCGCACCACTATTCTCCAGCCTGGGACGTGTGAGACCTTGTCTCTAAAAAAAAAAAAAAAAAAAAAAAAAAAGTTATATATATATTATATTACTTTTTAAAACTCAA